ACTGACCACCTGCCGGGCATTGCGCTTTTACCTGCTTTTGTTCATTGAGTCCTCACAGCAACTCTGAGATAGGTGCTCCCATTATCCCCACTTTACAGAGAGAGAAATTGTGCCCCAGGGAGGTTGGGTACCTTGCCCTACACCCCTGGCCTGATGAGGGGCAGGGCCACACCCCTCCGTGCCCATGACTTCTTTTCATGGAGAAGCCAAGAGGCCAAGGTTCTGTTCTTGACTTTATAAACAAAATGCCTCAATAAAAATGTCATGATAATTCAGGTCTTGCCCCTCATCAACCCTCAATTTCTCCTTTCTTTATAATGAGGGAATTAGACTTCATGGTCTCTAAGAGTTTCTCCAGCTCACAGCCCCTAGGGGTCTGTTTCAAAGTTGAAGCAATAAGAAGCAGAGTGGCTCCTGCCACGCCTGGCCGGTCTCTGCTCTCTCACAGTTACGAGGAGTGCTGCCCTTTAGACAGTGGCTTGAGGTCCATCGCATTTCATCCTTACATCTGTTCAGAATCCTGAATGACCATCCAGGCATTCTTTCATTCTGAAAATATTTGTCAAGGGACCATTGTGTTCCAGGCGCCGTGCCAGGTGGGGTGGGGTGACAGGGAACCAGATGCAGTCCTTACGCCTGCCTGGGCAGCCCACAGTCTAGTGGGAAGACGGTGTTCATCGTGAGCACTAAGACTCCTTCCGCATTGCGTGCGAGCGGGGCACGGATCCAGACCTGGGGGAGGAACATCAGGGCAGGCATCAGAAAGGAGGTGACACGCAATCTGAGCCTGAAGGGTGAGGACTCACCACCAGGGCTAACAGATGGGAGGATGGGCATCCTCAGGTGGATGGAACGGTGCGTCCCTAAGGCAAGAAGCAGCATGGAGCACGGAACGCAAGCGGATAGGGAGGAAGGCAGGAGATGGGGCAGCAGAGCTTGAACAGGAGGCTTGGGCAGCACGAAAGTGGCTGTGCTGTCTCAACTGGGTTTGGTTAAGTTGTGTGCCCCAGAGAAGGTATGTTGGATTCCCAACCCCTAATTTCCTCAGAACGTGGCCTTACCTTTTATTTGGATATGGGGCCCTTACAGAGGGAATCGAGTTAAAATGAGTCACTAGGGTGGGCCCTAATCCAAAATGACTGGTGTCCTTATAAAAAGAGGAAATTTGGCCAAAGAAACAGAAACATGCGTGCATGAGGTTGGACGGTGTGAAGAGACGCAGGGAGAAGACAGTTATCCGCAAGCCAAGGAGAGAGGTCGGAACAGACCCCTCCCGCACAGCCCTCAGCAGGAACCAACCCCGACAACGCCCCACTCTCAGACTTCCAGCCTCCAGAGCTGTGAGACTACAGACTTCTGTTGTTTACACCACTCCGTTTCTAGTACTTCTTTAAGGCGGCCCTATTATCAAATTCATACAAGTATTTATTCCATTTGCATTTTGTAACAGTTGATCTGCCGACAGCGTAGAGAATGGGTTCAGAGGGGACAGATTTGTCTGCCAAGAGACCGGTTTGGAGGCAGGAGATGACAAGGGTCTCCAGGAGGCAGGAATAGCAGAGACAGAGACTCTGACGGACGAGGAGACCTTTGGGGCAGAGTGTCCAGGCTGCAGTTCAGGCTGAGTAAGTGACATGAGAGAAAATGAGGACTCAAAAAACGAAAAAAAGAAGAAAGAAAGAAAATGAGGACTCAAGGGCTGTGTCCAGTCCATGTTTGCAGCTCAGGTAATCATGTGACCAGAGCACAGTCTAGGAATCACCTCATCAGGAATCTCAGGCACAAGTTCTAGGCAAATAGGAGAATGAAGGATACACTGCATAGCCACCACCTTTAGCTTAACACCCAGTTCTGGTGTTACCTCGATGTGCCCCTCCTGCTTCAATGCCAGGCGAGGCTTCATTTCTCAACATATATTCACTGACCACCCACTCTGTGCCACAGACTGTACCAAGCTTTGGGAACATAACAGTGAGATGAAGGAAACAGGGTCCCTGTGTATTATGAAGACAGACATTAATCACATTAATAAATGAACAATTACAGACTGTGATAAGAGCTAGAGAGCATACGGCAGGTGACTTGATCTAGAAAAGTGATGGCTGAGCTGATTTCCAAAAGACAATAGACAAGTGGAGAAGCATCTGGGACGAGGACGTCTTGAGCCACAGTGGGAAGGGACCTGGCACAGGTAAGGGACCAGATAAAGTCCCTGGGGAAAGTAGGCGTGGGGTGAGCCTGGAGGGGCCAGTGAGCATTTATCCTAAGGATTGGGGAGCCTTCAGAGGGATTTGGAATTCCACAATAGGGACTCAACAAGTATTTATTAAATGAAGAAGGACTTTGTACTGGGTTGAGTCCTGTCCCCCCAACATTCATGCCCACCCCGAAAAACCTCAGAATGTGACCTTATTTGGAAATAGGGTCTTCATAGATGTGATCAGGTTAAGATGAGGCCATACCAGATTAAAGTGAGCCAGAATTCAGTGGCTGGGGTCCTTATAAAAATAGAGAAATTCGGACACAGAGAGGAGAATGCCATGTGAAGTCACAGAAACTGACATGGGGGGAGGCGGCTGTGTGGGGGGCAGAAGCGGAGGTTGAAGTGAGGCACCCACCCACCAAGGAACACCAAGGATTGCCCACAGCCACCATAGCCAGGAGAGAGGCGTGGAGCAGGTTCTCCCTCAGCGTGTCCCAAAGGACCCAACCCAGCTGACACCCTGATTTTGCACTTCTATCCTCCAGGATTGTGAGAGAATAAATTTCTATGGTTTTACACTACCCAGGGTCATGGTACTCAGTGACAGCGACCCTAGAAAACTAATACGGACTTTAGCCTAGGAAGTTAGATGATGGCATGTTGATTGGTAAAAGATCACCGTAGCTGCAGCGTGGAGGATGGGGGGGGACGAGGCGTCAGGATAAGACACGGAAGCACCAAATACGTCACTGGGATGACACTGCTGTAATCTAGGTGGGAAACCTTGAACTTCACCAGAGTGCAGTGGGAGAGATGACAAGAGTTACAAGACTCAAGAGACATTTAGGAGCTAAAATCATGGGGATTCTTGAAGAAACAAAGCCCATGGTGATGGATAACAGATAGAATGGGAGAAAATGGGAAAAATTTTCTAATTCCAGCAACGCCTGGCCCTACTGGAGTCACACGGCCAAAAGTCCTTTCCATTTCCCTCTGCATTTAGCCTCACTCAGCGCCTGCTGCTGTTAATAGTTTCTTCTGTATCAGACATTTATCAGCTCCTCTGGCATATATTGTGTGTGTGGCTTACACACTGCTTTTACATACATGTTCTTCGCACGAGAGCATTAGAAGCAGGTTTTATTTTATCTTATGTATGAGGAAAGTAAAACTCAGAGTGGTGATTTTGCCAAAGCTCTTGTGAGTAGATGCTGGACCTAGGATTCGAACCCACGCCTGCCATCTCTACAACCCAGTACTTTCCTCTGTGTGACACAGAACAACACGGTAGCAGTCAACATGGGGTTCCAGAAAGGTCCTGTCTCTAGCAACTGCAGTAAGGGGGCTACATCGCAACCTGGATTTCAAAAGCTTGCCAGTCACTGGAATAAAGCTGTTCCAGTAGAAACCTTCCATATTGAAAAAAGCACCCTGCGCGTTTGTTTCTGGCATAAATTTCTGAGGCTTTACTAAACTGTGAGGAGATGTTGTTTTATGTTTAAGATCCATCCTGGTTGGGATCCAGGCTCTGATCCTTTTAGGCTGCATCGTCTTGCGAAAAGCACTTAACAGCTTTAACCTTGGTTTCCTGATCTGTTAAAAGCAAATACTCTGGAGAATTAGCTTGTAGAGTTGTTTTGAGTAATACACGTAAAATACTTAGCTCAGTGCCTGGCACATAGTAAGGGTTCAATATGCCTTAGATATGACTGTTCTTATTTGCCATCATTGCATACTCATTTTCAAACCATACAAAGCACAAGTATTTCTCCTACAAAGTCTCACAAACTCAAGTGAAGTGTGGTCAAATAATAAAAAATACAAGGGCTGAAAGATTTTGCAAAGAAATACAAAATAGCTGCTTTCAGGAACATCCATGAACACCTGACAGGGAAGGGAATTTAGGCAGGAAGTAAATGAAAGGGTAAAGCAAGATAAAGGGAGAAGGAAAAGAAGGAGGAAAAGGAGGAAGAGGAAGAGGAGGAGGAGGGAGGTATACACTATCCCCACATTGTAGATAAGGACAACAAGAATCAGAGGTCAGATAACCAGCCCAAGGCCACCCCGCCAGAAAGCGAAGGGGCTGCCCTTAAAATGTACGCTCTTAGCAAAAACAGAACGCCGTGCTATGTTGGTTTCCAGTGTGTCCATCTCTATATCTGTAGCATGTTATTGCACTTTTATTTAAAAGTTGGCCTTTCCCACTAGTCTGCATCATCCTTAAGAAAAGGAACTGGGAATTACTCACCGTTGTAATCCCCATGTTGAGTTCTCAGTGAGTAGTTGATATTACACAACAGTGTTGAATAACTGTGAGTGGCTGGCGTCCGCAATGTCTAGGAATACTGTGATAGAGAGGTTCACATACCAGACAGCCTCTTACAGGGTTTGAGCAGAAATGTTGGCTCCAAAGGGGTGACCATAAACACCGTGGGCTCATGTCAACATTATTTACCTGATTCACTTAGTTGTTTGCGTTTTTTGTTTATTTTTTTCATTCTGTTTGCAAGGATAGCAGAGAGGTGAGCCACTGTCTGATATATCTGAATGATATTGATGAGGAGCTAGAGGAGTGTGGATCCCTGAGGTCCTCCTGGGCTTGTTTCCAAGGGGAAATCCACTCTCTGATGTCCCTGAATTTAGGTTAAATTTATTTGTTCTTCAACTTATTTTTGTGGACTGTGGAAGGGAAGATGGAACAATGGACCATTTATAGGAATCCTAGGAGAGAGAATAATAAATTGAAACTTTTTAAACTGAAAATTATGGGATTTTCTATGTTTATTGGTAGACACAGGATCATGAAAGGGGTCAACCAAACCAGCAGTGTCTCTGAGTTCATCCTCCTGGGACTCTCCTCCCGGCCCGAGGACCAGAAGCCACTCTTTGCCCTGTTCCTCGTCATGTACGTGGTCACCGTGGTGGGGAACTTGCTCATCATCCTGGCCATCCGCTCTGACCCTCAGCTGCAAACACCCATGTATTTCTTCCTCAGCATCTTGTCCTTCGTTGACATTTGCTACACAACCACCATCGTCCCCAAGATGCTAGTGAACTTTCTGTCGAAGAAGAAGTCCATCTCCTATGCTGAGTGCATGGCTCAGATGTATTTCTTCTTGGCTTTTGCCAACACGGAAAGTTACCTCCTGGCAGCCATGGCCGTCGACCGCTATGTGGCCATCTGTGACCCCTTCCACTATGTCACCACCATGAGCCCCCGCCGCTGTGTCCTGCTACTGGCCGGCTCCTGCTCCATCTCTCACCTCCACTCTCTCCTACTAGTTCTTCTGATGACTCGGCTTCTCTTCTGCGACTCCAATGTCATCCACCACTTCCTCTGCGACATCAACCCTCTGCTGAAATTGTCCTGCTCCTCCACGTTTGTCAATGAAATGGTAATTAACACGGAAGGACTGACAACCTTGGTGACGCCCTTCATCTGCATTGTCATCTCTTACCTACGCATCCTCCTTGCTGTTCTTAAAATCCCCTCCACCGCTGGGAAGCGGAAAGCCTTCTCCACCTGTGGCTCCCACCTCACCATGGTGACCCTCTTTTACGGCAGCATAATCTACGTTTATTTCCGGCCCCTGTCCAGCTACACCATCAAGGACCGCGTGGCAACAGTCATCTACACAGTTTTGTCCTCCATGCTTAACCCGTTTATCTACAGCCTGAGGAACAAAGACATGAAGCGGGGCCTGCGGAAGCTGATGGGCAGGAGGAGGTCCTAGGCAGCGCCTCCACAGACAGGCCCAGGAGAAGCTCTTCTGTGCGCCTGGTTTCTGCTGGCTCCTGGGGTGTACATCGAGCTATTGGAGGTTAGCGTACCTAATCCCAGTGCTTTACAGGAAATGGTACAGATGACAAGTGTTGTACCAAGGCTTATATATTTGGACCCATCAATCAAAGCAGCCTTACCCAGGCCCCCTGATTGGCCCAGGGTCTTTGTAGCCAATCCTAATTCTCCCTCCCATTCTCTTTTCCTAGTCAGTCCTTCCAGGTGTGGCTGAAAACTGATATTTTTCATTAATTTTTCTTGACCAAATTTCTCCTTGTTCAGTAATTCTGAATCCCCAGTATTCTTACATTTTTCAGGAAATAACTACAGCCAGTTACTCTCTTTGCAGCAGTTTCCTGCAAAGACACAAGGTGGTGGTGTGTATATGTGTGGTGTGACATGGGGGTGTTTGGGTGTACATGGAGGAGCACATACATGTTGTTTTCTTCCCTATAAGATCAGGACCTCCTAAGCAGCAGGGACAGTTTCTTGCCCACCAGGCAGAAGCATAGATGATATTTCCTCCTTTTTTGAATCTCTCTTGGCACAGTGTCCTGGGTCCTGAGCCCAGCATGTAATCAATTGTTGTCACTCATCAGCTGGTTAACTTAGCAACTCCAGGTGACCAGCCATGTGTGGTGGAACTGAGACCCACTTCTGTGTCTCTACCCTGGCTCCTTTCCCTGTTCTCCAGCAGCTCTTGGTACAGCACTCTTCTTGAGCCCGTTTTTGGTGTCATTTGTGCTGGTGGTATCTGTACTTTCAACACCATTACCATCGATCTGTTTCCAGAAAGAGAGATCATTTTTTTTCGTATTAAAGTTTATTCTGAATGGCTTTTGGAAACAGAACAAGATCCAATAAGTGTAAGAATTGGGAAAGTAATTCCTGGCAGGCACAGTGTAAGGAGGAAATTCAAAAGTCAGAGTTGTTGAAAGGTAGATTCCACCACTAGAGAAAGGTGTTATAAAGACAGTTCATACACCAGACAGAACTGAACTAGATGATATCTGAGGTCACTTCCAACTCAGAAAACTTTTGTGTTTAACGCTAAAGAGTGTCAGAGCCCTCATTTTCAGAACTGACAAACAACAGCGATGTTTTATAACAAGGTATATGTCTGAGTAAGACAAATTCTAGAAAATGCACCAGTCTTAGACATTTTGTTATAATTTTATTGAGCCATAGAGCTTTCTGTTATAAATAAATGTTCATGCCCTCGGGAGGCCTGGGAAGATATTGATCCTGTGGCAATAAATGGAAACTCAGGGACATAGTAGGAAATTTGACATTCTAAGTCAAATATCTAAAAGTAGAAAGGTTTCTGACCAGCATCATTGTTTGGCGGAAATACTTTCTTCCTATTCCTGATTTTTCCTTCCACATGAAGAGAGTTTAGTTAATGCAATACTTTTGCTATTTTCACCCCATTACTATTTCTACTTCAGGGCGTACGAGTGCTTATTTGACTGGTACATTTGGAAAGCATATATTTGGCCTGTGTCAAAGCAAAAATTGCATCTGACAGAGTTAAACAAGCAAGAAAGACTTTATTCAAGGCTACTGCAATAGGGGAAAGAAGCCAGAACTCGGCCTGAACCCAACCCCACTGAAACAAAGGGAGGAAGCCTTGTAAGCACTGAGATGAATGAATGGAAACGTACTGGAGGACGTTAGGGAAAGGTCACAGGCCACCTGTGTTTGCTAATTGACTTTATCCAAAGGAAAAATAAGCTTTTCGTATCTTTGCGACAGGAGGTGATTTTGCAACTTGGAGCAAGGCACCTGCTCAAGGTAGGCCCCTATCTTCCCACCGAGACTGAGAGATAGGGGTGCTACCTTTCTTGGTGAATACATTTCAAAGAGATGGCTCCCAGGTCCTTGAGAAAGAAATTTTTAGATTGTAAAACTGGCAAGAGGCTTTTTTTTTTTTTTAAGTTTGCATCTCAAAGGGGCAGAGAAAGAATTGTAAGTTTTCCAAAGTAAATGCTCTAAGGAATAGCAGGTCAGGGATCCAGAGTCGGGAAGGAGGCCCCCTGGAGTTTGGTCAAGCTAATGGGAATGCTAAGGCCATCTTGGTCGCCTGCTTGGCTCGGTGCTGCCCTACAAAGATCAGGAATTGTACTCTGCTTCTCTGTGCCTGTGGGTGAGACAGCCTAATTCTGCCCTGTGACTTTCCCTCAGAGCCACTTCCTCCAGTGTCTTCTCTGCCAGCAGTAAAGATGGCCCCCATCAACCATCCCTCTGCCCTATTTCTCATGCCTCCTCGGAGACCCTCACAATCATGACTGACCCCTACTAATTAAGGCGAGATGCTTGCAAACTACTCTTGAGGAGAGAAGCATGCTTTCCCAAACCCATCTCAGGGGGGCTCATTCAAAGCTCAGCTGCCCAACTAAGCTGCAAACTTTCCAGTCTGTGTATTAGATTTCTATTTCAATTTTAGGATGTACAGTTTATCTTGATTTTATTTAAATTTTTAATTTTTAAATATTAAATTTCAAGTTAATTTGAATTCATTTAAATATCAAATGTTATTTACATTGTATATCAACATTTACATTTTATTTAGATTTTATTGCAGAACTTGCAGTTGTGTGCTCACCTATATATAAAGCTGTGCCTTGCAGATTCCCTCCTTAGCCTTCCCTATGCTTAGCCACTAATCCTTCCTGTGGAACTGTAAAAGCATGATTATAGATAGCTAAGCCCGATGGGGATGTGGGGGGTGGAGACAGGTAAAGGGGAAACCTTCTTCTTCTAGGGGACTTGGGAGCCCATTTGCCCCAGACCCCAGGGTGTGGAAAGGGCTCTGTCTCAATGATGAGGCATCTTTGTCCTTGTGGAGAAAGACTAGCACTCAGGCTGATAAGAATTCCCAGGGAAAGTTTGGGCCTGTGCTATACTTGTCAGTTTCTGTGATGGAATTACACCCTTTCAGCATTCCTGAATCTTCAATAAAATATTATTAACAGGTACAGCCTTTCTTTACTGTACTCTGGTCGTCTAGGGGGTTTCTGTGCTCATACCGGAGATGAGATGGAGCAGGACTCATTGGTGCTTCCTTCCCTCTGTCCAGCCCAAGAGGTACCAGCCAAAGCCTCTGGTCAGGTCCAAGGTGTCAGAGCAGCAAATCCACAGTGCATTTTGTTTCAAGAATTGATTCTGGGTCCATTGACTATCCATATGGAAAAAATTAAACATGAATCTACCTTGCACCATTCAGGAAAAAAATTCCAAGTGATTTACATCTAAATGTGAAAAATAAAACAATAAGGCTTCCAAGAGACAGAATAAGCAACTATCTTCATGTCCTGGTGGTAAGCAAAGATTTCTTAATTGGGGCATAAACACACTAATCACAAAAGAAAAGACTAACAAATTTGACTAAATTAAAATTGAGGACTTGAGTTCAACGTGTACAATTATAAAGAGTGAAAAGGCAAGCCACAGAGTGAGAGAAGATATTTACAAAATATATAACCGACAAAGGACTCATCTTCAGAATATGTGAAAAGCTCCTACGAATTAACACAAAAATGGGCAGGAGACTTGAATAAGGACTTCATAGAAAATAGAATATCCAAATGACCAGTGAATATGAAGAGGGGTTCAAGATACCACTAAACATCCACCAGAATTTCTAAAATGAAAGGCAAAAACTGAAAAGTCTAGTTGAGACCAAGGAGCAATCAGTACTTTTCTTCACTACTAGCAGGAGTGTAGATTAGCACCACTTTGGAAAGCTGACAGTATCTACTAATGTGAGCATATGCACACTTTGACTCAGCAATTTCACTCCTAGGAATACACCCAACAGATACGCATATATTCACTAAGGAACATATATTAGGATATATGACTGACGGGGCGCAGCAGCTCACATCTGTAATCCTAACACTTTGGGAGGCCAGGGCAGGAGGATTGCTTGAGGTCAGAAGTTTGAGGTCAGCCTGGGCAACATAGCAAGACCCCATCTCTTAAAAAAGGATTTAAAATTTTTAAAAATATTAGCTGGGTGTGGTTGTACATGCCTGTAGTCCCAGCTACCAGTGAGGCTGGGCCAGGAGGATGGCTTGAGCCCACGAGTTCAAGGTTGTGGTGAGCTGTGATTGTACTGTTGCACTATAGCCTGGGAAACGGAGTGAATGCCATCTCTTAAAAAAAAAAAAAAAATGAGCGCAGAGGTTTCCTGCTGGCCCCACAGCACTGCTTGAGGTGTCAGAGGATGTGACTGGAGGGCCTGCAGCAGCTTGCCCTCCTGGCTGCGACGACCCTGGGGCTGGTCGCAGAGACGCCTTGAGTGTTGCCCACAGCCGCAGGTAGAAAAAAATCTAAAATCTCCTGAACATGTAGAGGTCAACATCCTAGATGACAACGTTATCCTAAAGTGGAACAGGAGCAACGAGTCTATGAGAATTGTGACATGTTCCGCAGATTGTCAGATACCTGGAATGGATAATTGCACAAAATTACCTGGATGCCAATATATTACTAATACCAAATGCAACTTTTCTTCACTCAAGCTGAATGCTTATGAAGAAATTAAATTGAGTAGAAGAACAGAAAAAGGAAATAACACTTCTTTGTGGTATGAGGTTGACTCATTGATACCATTTCAAAAAGCCCAAATTGCTCCTCCAGAGGTACATTAGAAGCTGAAGATAAGGCAATAATAATAAACCTCTCTCCTCCTGGAATGAAAGATAGTTATCACATAGGCATTGGATAGTTCAAGCTTTACATAGAGCCTAGTTATCTGCAAAAATTCTTCAAGTGCAGAAAAAAGAACTGAAACTGTTTATTCCAGAGATAAAATTTATAAACTCTCACCAGAGACCACCTATTATTTAAAAGCTAAAGCAAGATGACGTTTGCAGAAGGAAGTTGGTGTCTATAGTCCAGTGTATTGTATAAATACCACAGTTGCAAATAAACTGCCTCCGCCAGAAA